CTAAAAGCATTGGTTCTCCAAGGAACAAAACTAGAGAATCCCCCAAAGTAACCTTTACACTTCCAGACAAAATAACAATCCAATTTCCCTCTGTGAAACAATTTGGACAAAATGAGGGCCAACTTCTAATGGTTAAGAAATAAGAGCTATGCATATATAAATTAAACTCAAAAGCAAATTATATTTCTAAAATGAAAAGTGATTGGAAAATATATACAAATATTGGCTTTCCTCTTTCTTTCCTGCTTCCTTCCTTTTTTTCTCATTCCTTTTTTTGTTTAACTATATCTCTTCTGAAACAGTGTCTCAAAATCTGAGGCGGTTGTTTCAAACTGGTGATTTCTGGCCTTTATTTCCTACCCGTCACCTTCTTTTATCCTCTCCAAAAGTGTAACTCACAAATATGGACAGATGGTAGCTGCAGCAACTAATTCTGGTCCCAAGCCCAGGGAGTGATAAATAAAAAGAAGGAAGTGGGCCTGTGACGTAGGTGTCAGAACCAGCAAGGCCAAAGATGAGAAGTGTTCTTCCAATGTTTCCACTGAATGGTTGCTCAAACTGCACCATAAAAGCTCATTTCTAGAGCAATCTTCCTTTTGAAGCCTCTAGAGCACTGCTGTTTACTTTGCATTTCAATGGAATATTCCTATGGAAGCTTCTCAGATTTGCACTATTAGAAATGGAAAGAATTGGTAAATTTACTTCTTCCCAACTCAGGCATATAAGTAAATACAGGTTGCATTGAGCAAACATTAATATCAAGGGCCATCTCAAGAAATGTTGCTGCTTCAAGAAAACAATGAGTTGCGAAGAGTTTCCTATACATTTCTAGCTGCCAATAAATTTCTATTTTGAATTCAAACCCATGGTAATGACATTTGAAGCTTTAAATGACTTGGGATCTTGATATTTGATGGAACTCTGACAGAACTCTCTGCCTCTTTATGCCTGCCTGAGAATGGAGATCTATTGGAGGGGCCTTCCTCTGTGTCCCATCAATTGTGTCCCATCAATAGGAGAAATCCAGTGTGGAAGAATATGGGAGAGGACCTTTTCTGCATTGGCACCCCAGTTGTGGAATTCCCTCCTCCTGGAAGCCTGATTGTTGCCAGACTTGGAACATTTTGCTTGGGATAGAATATGTGGGGCCAGAGCTGGGACAACCTCGATGACATCCCAGCTTTTCTTTTAAAGCCTTGAGGCAAACAATCCATCACCCTTTTAGCTAACTAGTTCTATAGAAAACCTTTCCCCGCTTAGTATACTATCAAAATCTCCCTTTATGAATTGACCCCAGGTGTAGTCCAAGTGGAACATAGAAGATCCTTCCAGTATGATTTTGAAATTGGCAGGGTGTAGTTTACAGCTGTGTGCCTTCAAATTGTTTCCTAAGGCACCCCTAAGACAATTCCATCATGAGATTTTCTTGCCATTGCCTCCTTTTGACCTGCAATTGTGTGACTTGCCCAAGGCCACACACTGGACTTCTGTGCTGATTGAAGATTTAAAATTTGCTTTCTTAGACACCAGTAACCAAAATGTCAGCTCTCTGATTTTAGTTTATTTCAGTTTCCAAGTTTTTAAAAAGCCAAACCACCTTCCTACTATTATTAAAATAAAGCGGGTAGAACAACAGAACATTTCCATGAAAACAAGTTGGCAGCTAAGGTGTTAAAAAGGCCACTTGAAATGTGTGAGCTGTGAACTAAGAAGAAACAAATGTTGACACCCAAGAATAAATACTTAAAGAAAATGAATCTCCAGAAACATGGCTGGATGAGTAATAAATTGACATAAAAAAGCAACTCCAGAAAAGCCATAAATATAAACACACCATATTTAAAAATGTTAGTGGCAGTTTGATGATAAAAACCCTTCTCTGTGCCATATAATAACCACTATAAATGAATCATGAGAACAAGAACTGACTAGTATAATTTATGCACAAGTGTTAGAAAGAAGGAAGGTTATAGAACAGACAATGCTGTGATATGCAAGAGCTTCATGTTTGTAGGTTGCTAATGAGATTCTCCCTTCCCTAATTTACAGCTTTGTTGAATAATGAAAACAGAAATGTGAATTGGAAAAAGATAAGAAGACACATATTTTTCAAAGAAACAACAATGTTGGAAATGGTTTTTTTCCCACAGCAAACCTTGAACTTGAAAGAGAATGTTACACACATTATGCGTTTTATGAAGGTTGCTTATTTTTTGGCCTTAAATCCGCCATGGATTTCAGCTACAGTTGTGTAAAGACGTATAAAGATGTTTACTTACCTGGATCTAAGCTGCTGGGGAGAGAGAATGAAGGTAGTCAGGCTAGTGATTACACAAGGGAGACAATCTGACACATGACAAGTCATTGGCTTCTAAATGTGGGGCCAGATGCAACTGTCTGAACCCACTGTAGTGCCATGTTGGCATTCACATGGTCCAGCTGTGTAGAGACTGTGTTGGTCCCTAACTCTCTGTGTAATAGTTGCCACTGCTCCCAGCCAACCATAATGCTCCAGCCAAGCTTCTGGCCATTACAGGCATCCCAATCTGAGGTGCTTGCATGACCAGCAAGAATGGAGGGAAGTGATCTCCCTTTCTTTTTACTGATCATGTGGATCCCTTTGCTGATGTCTAGGAATTCGAATGGAGCTCTCTGGCTCACTGGAAATGGCAGCAGTTGCAATATGGGTATGATCCAGCTCCTTTCCCTATGCTGATGAGCATAGGTGATGGTACTGATGTCCAGTCTGGACAGCAGATCGGTCTGAAATGGACCAGGTATCACTGTCAAGACTGTCTTGAAGCCATGGGATAGTTTCCAGCATGTTCTGGAGTATCCGCTGATTTTGCCTGAAGTGGAGCAATGTCAGTTTAACTGTAAAAAAACTAATATTCACAGGAAGTCGGTAAACCTTGTACAGATAGTGAGAAATGGAATTGAGGTGGGGTCAGGTTTCCCTACTCCCATAGACACATCCAAACTCTTGTCACTAGTGTCTTTTGAGGAATGCAGAGATTTGGTCCACACTATCTGGCAGCTGTTGCATTTCCAAACAATCCTCTTGTGTATGGAATCCTAGCTCTTTGCACAATGTTGTTAAAATAGATCACTACTGATGCTTTATGCTTTCCTGTGCTACACAAGGGAAAGGAAGAGTAAAACTCCAGCTAAATCAGCAAGCATAGATCTGATAGATGTCAGAGTGTCTTAAGCATATGCTATTATTTGCAGAAATACACCATTTATAGGCCTTGTCAAAATATTTAATGTTTAATTAGACTGCAGTTCTATAGTCACGGGAAAGTCTTTGGATGAGCCAAAAGATGCTTTGGTTGTTTCAGGGTGGAAAGGAGGATCAGAAAGGGAGATCAGACTTCAAAAATTCCCTCACAGCTGCCGTGGGAAGCCTCCACTTTCCTGTCAACATTAGTAATGGCAAAAGCTAGTACTTCTACAGGTGTTGAGGAAGGTCTGGACACACAACCCCCAAATTATTTCTAACCTTCTCAAACTTACTTCCCTAAATCAACAGCAGTTCTACACTATTCCTGGAGCTGGCATTGGTTAATTAAATTCCATTGGAATCAATGGGGTAAGTTTGAAAGTGGAAATGCATGGCTCACAAATGGAGGAAACCCTCACTGTTTTCCACTTTGCTGCACTGAGTCTAGCAGCACTTTTAAATCTGGCAAATCCTCCACCATAGTTTCTCTCCTTTCTATTCATGGGAGTTGTTTGGTAAGAAGAACGTTCATAATTCTACAAATACTACACAAATTCATGGGACTTGACTGGTAAGAAGGTTTGTAATTCTGTAAATATTACAAAAATCATGGTAGATATATTTTTGAGATTTAAAAATCAATGGAACACATTTCAGCATTTAACCATGTGAATTAATAGTCATTTTTTTAAAAAAAAATCTTAATATTTTCTTTTTAGGAAAAATATATTCTCTGTTTGAATGATAGAACAGGCAGACAAAAGTGGCCCCTCCCATATAAAAAGTTTTAATTGACTAATCTACTGATAAATCAATGAAAGCCTGTAATGTTTATTTTTATCAGTTTAGTCTTACAGTATTACAAAACATTGGGTATGAAATAATTTAACTTCAGCATTATTATAAAGTTTTTTTATAAATACCAAAATTAAATTATAAATAAAAAAGAAAGATGAAAAATCCTATTATTTTATTACTTAAATTGGAGATATTTTACATATTTAAAATACTGCTATTTGATATCCAAATTACATGGCATTTTAAAAACACACATCATATATATGCAGAAAATTATTAAGGTTTTTTCTTTTTCTTACTCATTGTCCAGTTTGAACACCAAACTACCATAGTCTAGAATGACAAGAAAGAACATACACCAGTCTGTATCTCACATACTGCCTTCATCTTCTGGTGCGACCAGAAGTTTAGAAGCTTTTGTTTGTGTTTCTCATAAATGTCATGTTATTTGTCCAAATACAACCATACAAAATCATAAAAGTTGGAAAAGTTAAGCAATCCTACTCTTTGCCTCTTACACAACCAAGGTATCCCTGAAAGGTGGACATCAACCTCTGTTTAATAACCTCCAATGAAAGAGAGTTCTCCACCTTCTGATCAGTTTATTTCACTCTCAAATAGCACTTACTGTCAGAAATTTTCCTTTATGTCTTTTCTTGCTATTTGAATCCATGAAAAACTGGTTAATTTTGACTATGCTAAAAAACCAGGCACAGACATAATTTAAGAAGATTGCGTTCCCAAACAAACTGTCATTAATATAGAATTTGGATATAATTTTAAACTCTGGTGAAGTTAAGATGCTAAGGTTTTTAACTTAAATTTCATGGAGAAGAGGAAAGTTAGAGAACAGGGATGGAGTGTGTATAAACCACAAGTTCATTCTTGTCGTGCTAAACCAAAGGTTGTGGTGCCAGGTTTTCTTTTCTGAGGCTGAAAAGAAAGAACCATCTTCATAAAATGGCGAGGAAAACTCTCCCCTAGTTCCTACAGAAAGATCTGTATCATTTATTTTCCGAATATCAAAAGCCCAACATTAGGAGAGGGGAAAGGTGGGCAGCAGTTGGTGTATAGGAAAGGCTTTGGAACTAGAACCAGGCTTTGGATTCACTGCACCCACCAACATTGGGGGAAATTTAAACTAGTCCTGAAGATTAAAAATATGCCACCCCCATTCCTTGCTTTCTTCAACTCATGGGGATCATATAGAAAAGAATCTGGATATCTCAGACATTCTGCTTTTTGAAGACCTCTGAGGAACAAGGCAAGCGTTCTCGATCTCTGTTATATCTGAACTTGGTGTCTTCCTCTTTTCAGTAATTCAGATGCAACCCAGATACCCGAGACTTTAATACATTTCTTTTCAACATGCCATTGCATCTTAGTTATATGGGATAATTGGATTTGATCTTCTATATATATAATTCTTTGGCAAGTGTCAATATCAAGGAGGGAAGATGGATCCTTTTAAGAAGAAGTCAAGTCTGATCTTCGGATTGTTCTTCCAAGGAAATGTCGGATGTTGCTTGAGATGTCAAGAAGGACTCCCAGGTAGCTAGGCACTTAGTAGAAAATGGGAAAAATTAAGTTTAGTTTTCATAAACTGATAAAGATACTCCAACATGCATGTCATTTAGTAACAGAAATAAATTTTATAACACATTAATATTTATTTATTTATTTATTTACTATATTTATATACCGCCTTTCTCAGCCCACAGGCGACTCAGGGTGGTTTACAGTCAGCAATAATTCAGTGCCCCCCAAAATTATAAAATACAATTAAAAACAATAACATAAATATAAAACTATAGCAAGATCAATAAAAACATATACCATTGGTGTCTCCTTGTTAAAAACATTGTCCAGTCACATCGTCCAGTCGTTCTATTTTCCTATGTCTGTTACAATGCATTTGCAAACGCTTGCTCAAAAAGCTTTTTGACTTTTTTTTCGGAATGTTAAAAGGGAAGGGACCAATCTGATATCCCTAGGGAAGGTGTTCCACAGCCAAGGGGCCACCATTGAGAAGGCCCTATCTCTCGTCCCCACCAGATATATTTGTGATGAAGGTGGGTTTGAGAGCAGGGCCTTCCCAGACAATCTTAAAGTCCTGGAAGGTTCATAAGGTGAGATGTGTTAGGACAGGTAAGTTGGGCCAGAACTGTTTAGGGCTTTATAGGCTAAAGCCAGCACTTTGAAATGTGCCCAGTAGCAAACTGGCAGCCAATGGAGCTGGCACAGCAGAGGAGTTGTATGCTCCCTGAGCACTGCTCCTGTTAGCAATCTGGCTGCCATCCATTGGACCATTTGAAGCTTCTGGTCAGTCTTCAAAGGCAACCCCACGTAGAGTGCGTTGCAATAGTCTATACGGGATGTAACCAGAGCATGGACTACTGTGGTCAAGTCAGACTTCCCAAGGATTCTAAACATTCACTTCTGGTACAAACATTCATTCAGGATGGATATGTAAATAGCCAAGATCTTTTTCTCCAACAGGAAGAGAAGATTTACTATTTCTAATTATGGCATAAATGTATGTTCATTTAATAACAAAAGCACAAATCTGCAGTTCTATGTTGGCAAGTAGTTGTATTGATCATCCTATCTTGTATTTGTAAAATCCTATAAACTGGATTATAGATGTAAATCTAATAAAGGGTGATGTAGCTCACTAAGGTTGTAAAGATAAACAATCACCATCCATTGCTCATTGATTGACAACTCTTGCAAATTTGGTCACATATCACGGTGCATTCTGCTGACATTCCAATACACAATAATGGAAATCTAACTCTTTTTTTTTGCATACAAACTTTAAAATCCAATAAAATATTTAAAAACCCTGTCTTCAGAAAACCCTTTAAATAGACTTCTTATTTCCATTACCTTTTAGCTGAAAATCCTGTATTGATGGCTACTATAATAACTGGTATTAAAACAGTGCAATAAAAGGTCAAGTAATAGAACTTCTTGGAAAGGAAACTCCTTAATGAAAGAATATTTAAAAGCCAATGTATTCCCTTCTCTGTAGATGCACTTCCTCTTACACCAAACACATCTATTGTGCCTATTGATAAAACTTCATTGGGAATTAAACTCTTCACTTTACCACAGGACTCCAGGAAAAACATGATTAGAGCAACCTCCACTATCCCTGAATAGAATCAAAGAATGATAGCATATTGAGTTGGAAAGCCTTGCAAGAGTCATCTAGACCAGTGGTTCTCAACCTGTGGGTCCCCAGATGTTTTGGCCTTCAATTCCCAGAAATCCAAACAGCTCATAAACTAGCTGGGATTTATGGGAGTTGTAGGCCAAAACACCTGGGGACCCACAGGTTGAGAACCACTGAGCTACCACATCTCTCTAATCTAGTGGTTCTCAACCTGGGGTCCCCAGATGTTTTTGGCCTTCAACTCCCAAAAATCCTAAAAGCTGGTAAACTTGCTGGGATTTCTGGGAGTTGTAGGCCAAAAACATCTGGGGACCCAAGGTTGAGAACCACTGATCTAGACAAATCTCTCGCCATGCAAGGATGTACAAGCACCACTGAAGCATGCCTGTCCAGGCTATGTTTAAACACTTTCAAAAAAGGAGAGTGCACCCCCTTAAATTCCATTGGTTCAAGTTCTAGTTTCCGGAGCAACAGAAAATAAACTCACACCATTTTCCACATGCTATCCCATCAGGTATTTATCATCATCTCCATCTTCTCTTCTCCAAGATAAACATACCCAACTCTATAAGCTGTCCCACAGTTCTCTGTGTTACCTCCAAACCAGACCCAAAACCAATTTTAGGAGTTTGGGGGTATAGAGAAGTTCAAAGATATCTAGGGCAGGGGGGAACAACGAATCCCACCACTGCCACCAGTATAATACAATTTAGAGGCTGAGCTTATGTTATATATACAAGTGACCGATGTTGCTGGTAGGTATGACTGCCACCACCTCAGTATTATTGGCCTGAGGAACCAAAAGGTGTGAATGCGCTGTAGGTAAGGTGTATTTGCCCTTGGCTCTTCTGCGACTTCTTCACTGGCTGACTGGACTTTGAAAAGGCTTCTTTTATTGACTTGGTTCTGAGGCGATTAATAGACTGAGGCATACACCAGTTAAAGGTAAACTAAGAATGGTTTATTGAACTTTATATTAACAACAACTCATAGAAATGAGTGGTACAGAAGCGTGATTCAGTTGCAGAAACTTGGTTACTTAAACAAATAGTTCTCCTGACAGAAAAGCTTTTAAAATTGTGAGTTCCCTTAAACACACTGCTCTATCCTTAGAAACAGTATCAACTGGAGAACAGACTCCTATCTGTCTCCACCACAGGGCCAATAAGCTCCCTTATACTATCCCAAGTATAAGGAGACAAATCTTTCTTTTACTGGCCCTCACAACACAGTAAAATCCTAGCCTTTGTCTCAGCCTATTCCCTAAACTTAAGGCTCACTAAAAGCTCTTCCTTTTCTGTCAGATCCCTGCTCCATTTCGCTTCCTCTCCTCAAAATCCCTTCCTTCTCTCTCTCTTGTCAAAACACTCCTTTCCCTGTCTGATGTCAAGACACTCCCCCCTCTGTCACCAGCTGACAGCCACTTTTTCTCTCTCAACCGACTCCTCCTCTAGTGGCTCCAACCAATCAGGAGTCAGCTTGACTCCTCCCCCCCGGCTTTCTGCCTGTCTTCCTGGTGACAACTACTGTCTCGCAGGCTTCGGCCTTGTCGACTGAAAGGTAGATTCCACTACAGGGGGCTATAGTGGGAAGATGGACTGTCCCATTTTTTTCTGGGTTCTGCTTTCTTCTAGTGGAAGTTCAATACTAAATGCAGCCTAGTGGATCTCCTCTATGTATGTGTAGCTTTGTATCCAACCCTAAATGCTATCCTAAAACATAAGGTCTTAATCAACTTCTGTAAGGTGAGATTATATCTATGAGAAGGAAATTCCAGATGTTGGCTCAACCACTGACAAGGATGAAACAAACTGAAATTTGCTGACACATAATATATGAAGTTTTTTCCCAGGGAGAGTTCTATATTCTGTCAGTTCTTTCATGCCAAGGTTGGACTTTCTGGTAAGGAAATATGGTAATATCAAATTATTTTGGGAAAGAGAAGAAGGAAGTAGTTTTCCCCACAGCCATAATTAGTTTGATTTATTCCATCTCCTGGCAGTCTTTTCCAAAAAAAGAAAAAGAAAAAAAAGAGCACCAAATGAAACAAGCAATCACAGAATGCACCAAAAGATAAATATAGGAGGAATACCTTTGGTGCACTATGCTAGCCTTAGCACTTTTCAAGGTCTGTTAGGTGGTGGTGAGGAACAGCGGATAAAATCTGTAGGTTCCAAGCATCCTATTTCTCCCACATCTTTCTTCCTACATGGCCCCTGCATCCCTGGGTGCTTTGTTCTTCTGCAGGCAACACCTATGCTGATGCTATGAAAAAAACAAGATTCCAGCTTATGGCTGTCCTCTTATATGTACCTAGAAGTGAGCCCCCTCAAGCCTCGGAGTACAATGGCATCTCTTTGTTAGGAGTTTTTTTATTAACAGATGCTGAATGACCATATGTAATTTGATTGTGTATTCTTGCCCAACAGGAACTTGCACTGGATGGCTTTTGTGCTGTCTTCCAATTCTATGATTCTAAGTCCCCAAGACTTATTTTTGAGTAGACTTTTACAGAACTTTACTGTAAAAAAAAAAAAAGCTCCAGGAGGAGGAATATAAAAACCAATATAGGAACCAACTTAGACCTACCCCCCTCCTCCCATAAGAACAGTATTACTGCTGTAAGTGCCACAATATTTACATACTGCTAGATACCTGTCTTTCTCCTGATACAACGTAACAAAAAAAAATTCCCTATACTTATTTGGAAGCAAATCCTGTAAGAGCTCACTGGGAGCTGACTTTTAATAGATCTACTCAAAACTGCTGTGAATAATGTAATACCATTCCAATGGAGTTTCGTAGGTCTTATCCCTATGTGTGTGTAGTAGTTTCCCCCAAAATGGCATCTACTAGGTGTGCTGGACCTCCTATAATCACCAGACTAGAAGTTATGGGAGTTGTAATTTTTGGAGGTTGCCATAGTATTGGATCATAGAACTGCAGCCTTAGATTATATTATATTGTAAAAGCTATACAGTGAAAAAACTGTGGTGCTGGAGAAGAGTTTAATGGATATCATAAATTGCAAAAAGACAATGGGTCCTAGAGCAAATGAAGCCTGAACTATTTCTAGACCCCAAGATGACTACACTGATACTATCTTACCTCAGACATATCTTGAGAAGACCTGACTCACTATAAAATGCAATAGTTCTGTGAACCTAGTAGAAGTTACTTATGAGTAGATATATGCAAGACTGGACATAAAGGCTCAAAAAGCAAGCAAAATCAGTCAAGAAGCAGGCATTATTCTTTATGACATATTTGTTTTTTACTTCCATTGGAAATAATATTGATATTCCATGTTTAGTATTTTTTCATCCTTTCTCACATTGTTTGAGCTATCTATCTATCTATCTATCTATCTATCTATCTATCTAT